TATACTATTTTTTCTCACTTATTGCCCAGGTCTCAGATTCGGGTTGATTCAGAAGTTTATAGTTCTTTTTGATATATATATCTTTTTTTTATTTTTTTTAATGTTGTAATGAATTTTTTAAACTACAGTCATACCTGGGTTATATCCACCTTTTTCCAGAGCATTTTTGAAGATATAACTAAGGCAGGGATATAACTCAATATATAAAACATATAAAAACATAAAAGGGTGTATTAGAGTTACTGACGAAAAGTAAAAGTTGCTGGCTAAAGAAAAAAGGAAAAAAACGAAAGTAATTGTGCACTTTATGCAATACGTGACTTTAATTAATAGTATAGAAGTATAATCGGTTATCCGCGAAGTGGACATAACCAAAATCTAACCCAGATCAGATGATCGAATATGACTGAATGACATACTGGCTGATTATCCGCTCATCCGATTCTTGGTTCACTTCGTGGATCATACTATATACTTATCACATGACTTTTACTTGAGTCTGAATCTAATTAAAAACTCAATTTCTAAGTCGAGTAAGTTTGGACCGAACTTAACAACCCTAAGAACAATGCGCATGTATTTTACACAAAGATGCAATGCCAACCTCCAGTTTTTTTTAAATAGAGATAACTCTCACAAAACAATACTAGTCAAATATACGCTATAAAAATTTATATAATAAAGTTGATAACAGTGCAATTATCGCACCAGTCATCAAACCAACAATATTCAGCAAAAGGCTTTGCCATTTCCATCTTTTCATGGCTTCCGAATACCTTACTGTCGAAAAACTTACCGTAGTATACAGTGGTATTATTAATGTTGGAAATAGCCAATGTAACCAACCTTCAACCTTTCTTCTTACTAAATACCAAGGATTTACTACATTAGATCTCATCTCAATATAATTATACATTGCCAAGTCACAAATTGCTACTGCATCTTCATGACGAAGTTTTGTGTACTCTTCAAATGCCATTTCCAATTTGTCATCATAATAATCATCATTATGGAATGCGGTGATATTGAATCTTTCAAAGATGCTGTCAAGTAGTTCAACATCTTGAAATCCGCAGTTCATGCCTTGTCCGTAAAATGGCACCATGCAATGAGCTGCATCTCCTATGATTATTGCTCTGTTTCGATAGTGATAAGGTTTGCACTATATTATAAAGTTTAGTAAAAAAAAAAAAAAACTAAAGGTAAATAAATCCAATTTATTTTTATATTCGAATTTCTTACACCCATCATAAAAAATGCCAACTCTTTACGATTGAAATTTCGTTAGCATAAAACGATATATCACCTTGATAGACATCAGCGATCCTTTTGGGTTACGAAAATATTCTTTAAGTCGCTGTTCGCCTATTAAAGGAATGGAATCTGGAAAATAAACTTCAAAGAAGTTTATCAATTCTCTTTCTGTTTTTATAGTATCGAATTTTTCGTTGGGCATAAAAAGGGTGCAAGTGAATGATTTGTCCTATAATAAATGAAAGTCTTTTAATAGCTTCAAAAATTACCAAAGCTAGTCAGTCGCATAGGTAAATACCAAATACCAAATTTGGTAAAGCAATCATCATAAAAGTATGTCTCGGCCAAATATGCAAGTGATTAGGATCCATGGCGAACATGGGATTCCCTTTGTCATCGATAATCGGAGGAATGGTCAGTTCGCGATATGCATGTGTAATATATTCTTGATGATAATCCATGCTGCAAAATGTAATTATAAGTTGGCAAGTCAAGAAAAAAAAAAGATCAAAATTAATACATACTTAACTACACGCATTAATTTAGATCTAAC